GTCTGGAATCAAGGTTGTCAACTGTTCGTTGTTCCATTGTGCTTTCCCAGGGATAAACAGATCCAAATACTCTTTTAGTAAATCAAGGGATTGTCACTTGCCCAAATCCAATGATTATGATCATACACTGTGCGCAAGACTTTTTTTATGACATAAAATGATCATGCAAAACCTATTTTGATATCATGATGCAAGATGCAGAAGAAACAAATTGAATTATAATTATGTTATCCATAAACTGATAATGTACAATGCAAAACCTTTATTGAACAAATGATTGCAAAATATTGCAAAACATCGTTGTAAAGAGAATCAAAATAAAGTGGCCTTTGGCATGAAACGTCATTCTTGGCCCTTTTGAATATCTATGCTCCGGAGTTCTATGTTGGTGAAAGCACTACAAAGATGAGGAGAAATCCAAATAAACCGAGTCACCAGGTGTTTCAACTCATGCCTGCTCTTGAGAAAACCCTACCTTAGTGCCCTTTCGGGTTTTAGCTAAGGTCGTCCCCACCCTTTTTGTTTTGTTTTTCTTTTTTTTTTTGTACTTGTTTTTTCTTTTTTTTTCTTCTTTTTTTTTTCGAGGTGCCTTTTCGGGTTTTCACCTAAGAAATAATGGAAAACCTTGACCATTATTGACTCAAGAATGTGAATTGAAGATTTCTGGCATCAGTAGAATGCTCTTCCCTCATAAATTTAGGTGAAGGCATTATGGACATCACTTTCCAGTTGATTAGAAAATTTCCAATAGAAATATAGCAAGTGACGAAAGCCAGAACTTTGAGTTTTTGCAATGAGGTCCGGTGGGGTGTTTTGAAAAAGGTTGAAACTTGAAAGTAGATTTGATGAAAGGTATGAAAAAACCTGAGATTGCATCATTTTGAAATTGTCTCCAATTTTTGAACGAAACTGAGGAAAATTTGTCCCAATTTGATTGGATTTTTCTCTCTTTGCATTTTCCTCACTTTTGCATTTTTCTTTAAAAAACTAAATTTGCCCCAATATGGGGTTTTTCTTTTCTTTTTGATTTCTCTATTTTTTCGATCATCTCTCTTTCAAAATAAATTTGCCCCAGTGTGGGGTTTGCAATTCTCAGGGGCTGCCAAATGAAAATTATTGTTCTGATAGTTCAAAGGGGATGACTGTGACAGCCCCACCTCCCCCTAAGGCGAACCAGAGGGTTCGGCGGACCGCCTGCCCAGCTCTCGCCGGGACTCAGTCAATCACTTCAAGCAACCATCGGAATAACCATATGAATAACATAATAACGATCCAATCTAAACAAAACTTATATACATAGATATCTTAAAAGGAAGTACAACCGTCAAATATACAAAGGTTCTCACTTCCCCATACAACCAGCCCGTGCCAAGCACTAGGGCGAGAACCATTACAAAAAAACAAACAAAACTAGACCAAGCTAGTCTATGCCAAGATTTCCGTCCTTGCGCGTCTTCCCCTGCTAAGGAAAACAAAACTAAAGGAGTGAGCTAAAAGTTCCGGACATATAAGCAACAATCCAACCCATACCTTAATATAGAAATCAAGAATTCATGTAACATGTACAATGGAAAGCAATAATAACACATACATTAAAAGGATACGGTCTCACAAGGAGCCAAATGTTCCCGCGCGCGCTCGTTCTCCTGACATTTCCTCCTTCCTTCAATCTTTTGAAAAGCATTTGTTTTTTTTTTCTTTAAATGAAATCCCCGCACATTTGATCATGCATTTCATTCACCCCCTTCCCAGCCATTGGCCGGGCTCCACCAGACTTCAAGGTAATACTCGAGTATGCCAAAACGTTCACCCAGGTCACCCAATCGCCCGACCGAGTCCGCTTCTGGCTCGAGTCGATCGGTAACAAGGGGCAATGGCCAGTTCAGCCAAAAAGGCTTACATTCATGCACAACTAGTATTTCAATCATTAAATCCTTGAAAATTGCACAGTTATTTAGGTCGAGTGCGATAAAGTACACACTCGCCTATAAAGCTCATTTTGGAAATTGGAAATCATTAAAAGCACTTAACACGTTATCACTTAAGAATACAAGTTATGAAGTCAAGGAGCATTTAACAAACAAGGAACACTCACCTAACTATGCAAAATAACGTGCAAATTATCCTTCTGGATAGAATCCTTAATCACCGAGAATACCTAAGATTGAACGAGAAAGAATATAGCACAACCAATTAGGTGAAATCGAAGAAACCCAATAATTGATGAGTAAAACGCATAAAAATGACTTTAAAGCGAAACGGGGCATTTGGACTGATGGTCGGAAATATCAAGGGTTTCATAAACCAAGCGCAAAACTAAACTAAAAAGGGTTATAAAATTTTGCGGCAAAAGCACTTGGACCAAAACTAGCCTTCAAGTAAAAATTTCGGCAGCAAATCCCTTGTGTTTACCTATTTTCCAGCCATTAATGGCTTCATTATTTCCTCAAATTAGTCCCAACATCTCACACAAAATAATCTCATTTCCAAAAGCCGTTCACTAGGGTTAAAGTCATTCAAGTACACAATTTAGCTAGGAATGACCGGATATGAAAGTCAAGCCCTAAACTATTCAAATAAACACAATAAGACTCGATTACAAGTCATAAACCAATTCTACATACTACCAAACAGGGTTCCCTAAGCATACACAAACAATAGAGGAAACCAGAAAAAGCCGGAAAAGATTTAGCTTTATCCCTGAAAAAAAATAGTTTTTGACATCATTTTGCGGTAATGGCACCAAAGGCACTATGATTATCGGATGAAGGTGCAAGACCCACCGTTTCGAAGCTAAAAGATAGGGCTACAATGCTAAAGAAGGAAACTCTGTCCAGTTTCAAGTGTAACAAGGTCAAAATGCAAGAAACTACACCAGAATCACAAAAACGGATTCACAGAACGCATTCTAGCGGAAACATCATAAATCAGGTTACCTAAGTCCAAATCCAGAAATTCCAAAACCAGTTGAAAACTAAGAAACAGGGCTATATTTCATCAGAAGACCTCAACAACCAATTCGGAAGAAATTCCAGCCAAAACAACCAATTACAGGCGCAATTCTTACATTCGGGTAAAACCAGAACAGCAATAGTAATTTCGACTTTTCTCATTCTACACTACTCCGATTGACCTGAAATTTTGTAGGTACCTCTAAAATGTCATTCCATACAACTTTCGTGTTTTAAGCCAAGGCCAATTCGGCCTATAACTAGGAGCTATAAATTCGGGCAGAATGTTCCCAACTAAAACCCTAACTTTCTACAATTTCTTCCAAACAGAAATTGGTTGCAATAATCCACTTTTCCACCTTCTAGATCCCTTACATACCATTTCCAATCATCATACATAGCCACACAATCATATTCATATCAAAACAGAAAAATCCCTAAATCAAAACCCTAGAAACCGGAAATCACATCACAAGCGGAAATTTTCCGCCAACAACCGTAATTAACGTATAAAGGTTCCATTTAACACCATTTCAAACCATTAGTCCAACACTAATCATGACTTTCATATAAAATCAGAAAAATACCAAATAAATCAACAATTCACCATAAATTCCTTAAACCCATGAAATACTCCACAATACAACATATTCAAACATCACAAACCCTAGATTAACCAATATTAGAACCACAAGGAACTTGTTTATTCAACTTACCTTATAAATTCAAGAAAGGTAGAGACTTAGAGCTTCACTTCCAAAAATAACTCCACAATCACCTTCACCCCTCCTAAGCTGGCACTTATACGGAGTAGTTTGAAATTTGATCGGTGAAATCCCAAGATTCAAGAGAAGATTGAAACTAGAATTTAAAAGACTTTTCTTTCTTTTCTCTCAAAGCTCACGGATGAACCAGGGAAGAAAATGAGGACAAAAGCAGCCAAAACAGGATATTTTATGAAGGAATCAGCCGGTCAAAGCTTCTGACCGGCGCTGACACGTCACAATCCGGCCGGAATCTGGCCGGATTTCCGGCCGGATTCTTGGCCGGATTCGAGGCAGTAGCTAATCCAATTTTTTTTCAAAAACGCACAACAATCCGGCCAGCAATCCGGCCGGATTCGGCCCTTCAGCCTTTTCGCAAAATTTTTTCTTGTTCTCCGAAGTCAAAAGCTGCGCTCCACCGCACTTCTAACACATACATATACACATACATATACTTACATATCTCACACACAAGCACATAACAACAAGGCCTTATTTTGATTCAAATGATTCGTTGACAAATCTTCACTTAAACGGGAAGCAAGAATAAACCAAACGCTTAGAAAATATGAACGGTTTAGGGTTCTCACAATGACTAGGGATGAAATGTTTTGATTGGAAAGAAAGATGGCCTGACTTTTGTCTCGTCCCTTGCGTAACTTCTAAAAGAAATTTGCATAATCAAGAAGTTCTTACACATGTCTGAGTTGATAGGTTGAGGGAATGTCTGTCCATCTATCTCTGCTAGAACAAGTGCTCCGCCCAGTAGCACCTTTTGAACGACAAATGGGCCTTGCCAGTTTGGGACAAATTTGCTTTTGGCTTCATCTTGCATTGGCAAAATTCGTTTTAGCACTTTGTCTCCTTCTTCAAAGGATTGCCGGTGGACCTTTTTGTTGTAAGCACGGGCCATGCGTTCTTGGTAGCATTGGCCATGACATATAGCATTCAGACGCTTTTCATCAATCAGAGCCAATTGTTCATGACGCTGCTTTAACCAATCAGCTTCTTCCAACTTGGCTTCCATTAGAATACGCAATGAAGGGATTTCAACCTCGGCAGGTAGCACAGCTTCCATTCCATACATGAGCGAGTAGGGGGTTGCCCCAGTTGAAGTTCGGATAGAAGTCCGGTATGCCATTAGTGCATAAGGAAGCTTTTCATGCCAATCACGGTACTTTTCAGTCATTTTACGAATGATTTTCTTTAAATTCTTGTTTGCGACCTCCACAGCCCCGTTCATTTGAGGCCTATAAATGGCAGAATTGCGGTGTTTGATTTTGAGCTATTCGCACAGTCCGTCCACCATGTCATTGTTGAGATTTTTGGCATTGTCGGTAATCAATGTTTCTGGCACACCGAACCGGCAGATGATGTGATCCTTTAAGAAATTTGCTACCACCTTCTTTGTCACATGTTTGAAGGATTCTGCTTCGACCCATTTGGTAAAGTACTCAATTGCTACCAATATGAATCGATGTCCGTTTGATGCAGGAGGATCAATTGTACCAATTACGTCCATACCCCACATTGAGCAGGGCCATGGGGCAGCCATGCCGTGTAATTCAGTAGGAGGAGCCCGTATAACATCGCCATGCACTTGACATTTGATACATCTTCTGACAAAATCTATGCAGTCATGCTCCATGGTGAGCCAGAAATATCCCGTTCTCATGATTTTCTTTGCTAGCAGCTGTCCATTCATGTGGGGTCCGCATACGCCACTATGTACTTCTTTCATCATGTACTCTGCTTCATCCTCGTCAATGCACCTTAAAAGGTTCAAGTTTGTTGTTTTTTTGTACAGTACCTCTCCATTTAAGAAAAACTTTGAGGCTATTCTGCGCAGAAAACTTTTGTCATTTGTGCTCGCTTCGGGAGGATAAGATCCTGTTTTGATGAATTCTTTAATGTCACCGTTCCAAGGGCGGCTGTCAAAAGCTTTGTTTATGACCCAGCAATGTGCAGGCTTATCTTGGAGTTGTCGGGATAGGCTCAATTAATAGTTCGTCCGGATATTGTATCATGGAAGACAGGGTGGCCAAAGCATCGACGAATACATTTCGGGCTCGTGGGAGATGCCTGAATTCCAAACTTTTGAATTGACTGGCTAAGTTGAGCAGATTGCAGTGGTATGGTAGTATCTTTGAATCTTTGGTTACCCATTGCTTTAATGTCTTGTGTACGAGCAAATCTGAATCACTGAAGGCTATTAATTCTTTAATTTCCGTCTCCAAGGCCATTTTGAGACCAAAAATGCAGGCTTCGTATTCGGCCATGTTGTTAGGGCATGCAAATTGCAATTTAGCAGCTCCAGGATAATGCTTTCCTTCTGGGGACACGAGGACTGCTCCTATTCCAGCTCCGAAAGAGTTAGCCGCACCATCGAAAAATAATCTCCATTCAGGGCATTGTTCACTCATATCTTCTGCGGTGCCAACAAATAATACCTCTTCATCAGGAAAATAGGTATGGAGTGGCTGATAATCATCATCTCTTGGGTTCTCCGCCAGATGATCTGCTATAGCTTGTCCCTTCATCGCCTTTTGTGAAGTGAAAACAATGTCAAAGTCTGAAAGAATCATTTGCCATTTAGCCATACACCCAGTAGGCATAGGCTTGTTCAAGAGATATTTCAAAGGATTGGAGCGTGAAATGAGATAAGTAGTGTGGCCCAACAAATAGTGCCTTAATTTCTGAGTTGCCCAGGCCAATGCATAGCAGCTTCTCTCAAGAAATGAATAATTGGCCTCGTAATACGTGAACTTTTTACTAAGATAGTATATGGCCTGCTTTTTCCTTCCGAAATCATCATGTTGTCCCAAAACACAGCCTACTGCTTCGTCAAGCACAGATAAGTACATAATCAATGGTCGACTAGGCTTGGGTGGCACTTGGACAGGAGGCTGAAGTAGATAGTCCTTAATTTTGTCAAAAGCTAGCTGGCATTCCTCGTTCCAATGTAAGCGCACATTCTTTCTCAATAACTTGAACAAGGGCTCACATGTAGCAGTCAATTGGGCAATGAATCGGCCAATAAAATTGATTTTTCCCAAGAAATTTTTCACATATTTCTGTGTTTTTGGTTCGGGCATTTCTCAAATGGCTTTAATCTTTGCTGGATCTATCTCTATGCCCTTTTTGCTGACAATAAATCCCAATAGTTTACCAGCTGGTGCTCCAAAGGCGCATTTTGCAGGATTCAACTTTAAATTATACTTGCGCAACCTTTCGAACAACTTTCTTAGATCAATCAAATGGTCCTCTACTTTCTTGGATTTGATTATGATATCGTCCACGCAGACCTCCATCTCTTTGTGGATCATGTCATGGAACAAAGCTATCATGGTTCTTTGATAAGTGGCTCCGGCATTTTTTAGTCCGAATGGCATCACTATATAGCAAAATGTACCCCAAGGGGTAATAAAAGCAGTTTTTTCTCTATCTTCTTCGGCCATTAAGATCTGATGATATCCGGCAAAGCAGTCACAAAAAGATTCAATTCCATGCCCAGCGGTATTGTCCAGTAGAATGTGAATACTCGGCAAAGGGAAGTCATCCTTAGGGCTGGCCTTATTAAGATCCCTATAATCGATACAGACTCGCACTTCTCCGTTTTTCTTTGGCACGGGGACTGGATTTGAGAGCCAAATGGAGTAATGAGATACAATAATGATTTTGGTCTTTAGCTACTTTTCAATTTGCTTTTTTATTTTGAGACTCATGTCTGGTTTGAATTTGCATGGCCTTTGCTTTACTGGTGGAAAAGATGGATCAGTGGACAATCTATGCACCACGATGTCAGTTGAAATGTTAGTCATATCGCTATACGACCAGGCAAACACATCTTGGAACATGAACAAAAATTCAATCATCTCTTTTTTCTTCTTTTCATTCAAATGTATACTGATATTTATTTCTTTGACCTCAGTCTCAGTGCCAATGTTAACAATCTCTGTCTCTTCTAGGTTCGGTTTGGATTTCTCTTCATATTGTTCGAGACCTTTTGAAAAAGAATCAGATACTTCCTTACTATCACTCTCGTTTTGAATTTCGAATTCCATAATCTCAAAGTCGTGAGTGATATCGAGATTGCCATCATCGGATTCCAGAACAGTGATATCTAAAGGGTCAAATAATTTTATTTTTGGCCATCTGAAAGAATTTAGAAGGAAATTAAAAACGATAAACAATCAACCAATATAAACAAAATGGTATCAAATAAACAAAAATAATGAAAAGATGTAACTATGCACTCTGTTGAAAAATTCAAAAAAAACAACACAGGAACTTGATAATGCAAAAATTGTTTTAGCCAAAACTTGATTGAACTTGATAAAACTATTTACACAAAAAAACAGTGACAATTTTCATGAATTTTAGCAAATGACAATCCCCAGATTTACCGAAATTCCCTTCGAGAGGGAAGATACTCGGCAATCCAATTGTGCAAAGCTCCTTCAGGGGATGAGTGAGAATTCTGTATTGTCTGACGATTCATCCTTGTGTGTAGCTCCCACGAACAACTGATCCAAATTTGCCTTCAATTCCTCGATCGGATTGAGCTCAGATGTGATTACCTCAGACGGTCAAGGGAAAGTGTAACAAAGAGGTGGAATGCTCAAAGCCATCAATTCTCCCTCCTTCCCTGCTTTTTTGCGGGCTTTTATTTCCCTTTTGTCTTTGTCGGTTGGATGAAAACCTAAACCAAAAGTGTCCTTTTTTCCCTCGAGCTCTATTAGTCCCAACATGCCTTGCAAGTTCCGTCCTAGACCTTTATCGAATTCGTATCCTCCACGGATCATTTCCTTAGCCATCATGATACTGGCTATTGGCAAAGTCATTTTAGTTCTGGCCTCGTTAGCCACACGGTGGGAAGATACTGAAGCGCTTTTGTTACCTTCTTGTTCAGACTCGGAATCAGTTATCAGAATGCAGTCTTCTTCAGCAAATATGGTTATCAACTGTTCATTTACTATGAATTTCAGCATCTGATGTAACGAGGAGGGCACAGCACTCGAAGTGTGAATCCAAGGTCGTCCGAGTAAGACATTGTAGATACTGGGAAAATGCATGACTTGGCAGGCTATCTGGAATTGTACGGGCCCTATTTCTACCACTAAGTCTATTTCTCCTATTGACTCCCTCCGGGCTCCATCGAATTCGCGGACTATTGTGGTTGACGGTCTCAGTTTAACATCTTGCAGTCCTAATTTCATCAAAGTGCTCCAAGGGCAAATGTTAAGGGCGGACCCGTTGTCAATCAACACCTTGGCCAACAGCTTGCCATTGCATCTCACGGCTATGTATAAGGCTTTGTTATGACCCGTGCCTTCTGCCGGCAACTTTTCATCCGAGAAGGTGATTTGTTTAACAGTCAGTACATTTCCCACTATGTGCGAAAAATTATTGACTGAAATGTCCTTGGGAATCTGAGCTTTAGTCAAAACACCAAGCAACGCATCTCTATGTAGGTCCGAGGAAAAAAGCAAATCTAACATGGAAATATGAGCAGACATTTTGTTCAACTGTTCCACCATATTATACTAACTCCTTTGATCCTCTTGAGAAAATCCGATGCTTCTTTTTCAGTGACTGCGGGCTTAGCGGCTTGCACCTTCTCGCCTGTTTCAACAACGGACACTTCTTCTTTCAAAATCTGTTTTCCTCCAATTTGCAACGTGGGTTCATTGTAATTCCAAGGCACTTGCTGCAAGCTTAAGACTGGCATTTGATCCGGAAATTCTATTATCACAAGCTCTAAAGCTTTACTTTCACAAGGTGTCAAATCCAGAATAAAGGGTTCTTCATTATTCTCGCACCACTCTTCTTCTATCACAAAAGGTTGCTTATCTATTCCAAGAACTTCTGCTTCACTAGAGATGTTTCGATCCAACTCTTCAAACTCTTCATTTGTAATCACGACTCGTACAGGATCGGCATGGTCTGGTAAGGGATTTTTACTCACATTTGGTCCTTGTTCTGCCCTTTTTCTAATCACTATTTTCCCTGCCTCGATCATGTCTTGGACTTTGTGCTTAAGTGTTTTACAATCGGCGGTTGGGTGGCCAGGCGCTCCCACATGATAGGCGTAAGTGGACTGTGGATTGTCGCCATGAGGGTAAGCTGGAGGGGGAATTATGCCGATCTTACCGGCGACTTTAAATTGTTCGTACAATTGGTAAATGGGCCTGTAGACACCAAATTTTTTAGCATTTATTTCTTAGTTTTATTTGTCGTGTTAAGTTTTATTCACTTTTTAGTTTTTTAGTTTTTTTTAGTTTTTAATTTTAAGTTTCTAACACAAAATTTGAAAAAAAAGAAGAAAATTGTTCACAAAATATGTTTATTTCGTTTAAATTCAATATTTTAGCATTTTATTTATTTTTGTTAAGTTACTTTGAAAAAAGAGAAAAAAGAGAAGAAAAACGACGAAAAATGGAAAATGAAAAAAAAAGGAAAATGGAAATTGCACTTTGTTGCTTCTAGTTTATTTATTTTTATCAAATGTTAATTAAATTATTTTGTTATTTATTTTTATTATCAATTCTGTTTTAATTAATTTTTTTTTAAAAAAAAATGATACGCGTTATGCAAGCTGCATATTTTCGCAGCTTGCAAAGGACAGATGCATGCCCATCGGATGGCCAAGGCAAGAGGTTGAGAGGAGATTGATTGCTGGCCATTGAGAGCAGGGTTTAAGGGTTGTAAACTTGATATAAAAGCTGAAAAACAGCAGCCGCAAAGGAAGGGGACGGAAGGAAGCAAACAGGCTGAGAAAAGAAAAAGGATCGGGGAGATAAAAACCCAGAAAAAGGAAAAGAAAGAAGAGAACGGCAAGAGAGGATTTCTGGGAGGGGAAAGAGAGAGAGAAAAGTGAGAGTACGGTGGCAGAGGGAAGAGCCGAGAGCAAGGGGAAGGAGATAACCATTTTGAGAGATAGAAAACAGAGAGGTTTTGCAGTTGACGGCTGTAGAAAGAAAAACAGAGCAAGGAGAGAGTTGAGGGGTTCGACAGAGGGCTGAGGAGAAAGAACGAGAGAGATAGAGAGGCCGAAAGAGCTTCGGTTGGAGGAAATGTGAGAACTCGCAAATTCCTTGTATTTTTCCTCAAAAATACCCTTTTATTTGAAAATTAGTATTTATCAAAGGTCACTACCCAAATATTTCACTCTAAGTGTAAGTAAACCTAGAAAATAGGGTTTTACGCTTCGGTTTCAAATTTGGAGCGAAATTAGGGTTTTCGCGATTTTTAGCCGGATGAATTTTCGGTACAGAGTAAGAATTAATTTGGGGATTAAAAGTGACTTTTAAGTGAGAAATAAGATGTGACTAGTGGCAAGGGTATAAGGTTAGTGAATGGGAAGTGAAAAACCTAGTACGTGAGTTTTTAAGAAAAACGGCGCGATCCGGCGGGTCCCGCGCATTACCGATTGAACGCACTGCTTGACCACCACTTTCTTACCCTACAAGCTCATTGACAATTGAGCAAAATATCTTCTTATATTACAGCTAAGGGGACCGAAATTAGTGGCTAGAAAGCAAGGGAAAGAAAGAGAAAAATTAGTGGCCAAGATTAGGCCAAGTGTTGGGCAACTTGTGGACACCATTAGTTCTAATCCTTTTGGCTTTATCATAAGACAAACTTAGCTCCATTTCTCTTCATTTTCTGCCAAGGGAGCCGAGAGAGAGAGAGAAGAAGAACAAGGGAGAAATTTCTTCATTTCTTCTTGATTCAAGCTACAAAGTGAGAAATCCAAAGAACTAAACCGATTAAACTGCTCCTTGGGTGATTAGCTAGTGATTGGTGGTGAAATTTTGGAGAGAGAAAGCTTGGACTACACTTGGAGAACTCAAATCAAGGTAAGGAGAATGATATCTCTCTAAATTTTTCTTTCAATCTTGGTGAAATTAAGTCTAGTAACTTGAGTAGTAGTGGAATCATGGATGCTAGCATGATTGGAAGTTTTTTTTTCCCTCTTTATATGATGAACTAGGGTTTGGGAAATTCTGCCCAACTTGTTGTATGATGCTTGTATGTTATAATTAATGTTGTATAAGATGTTTTGGTAGTGTGAGAAGTGAGAAATTGGGGA